TAAATAATGTGTGGTTTTTTCTTTCTGTTAGATCTCTGTCGCGTCGTGGTAGTTCCTCGGCACGTGTACGGCGTGTTCATGATACGTTGGGAGGTGGCAAAAAGCGGCCCTCTGAGGGCCTAAAGTAACGGAGAGGGGCAAAGAAGGGGCCCGCATATAAAGAGGGGCTCGTAAAGGAGGTCTAAAACGTGTTTTTAATCTAATGAGGTCCCTGACCAAAAAGGTGAGCCTGAAAATTATGTAGAGATGGTGTGTACAAACACAAGTACCGTCGTTACAGGGGCCAATCTCGCGTGCGTTCGACTTTCAGACTCTCCCCACTCCTTCTATCAGTGGTCTTTTGTCTTGTTCCTTAGCTGTTACAGATGGGGAGGCGAAGTGAGGAAAGGACATTTTTATGTCCACGGTCGGGTGGTGTATACGAGGCCTAGGTTCCTACCACGAAGTCCCGGCGAGTCCGTTCACGTGAAGTTGATCGTTATTCGTACGTACAATTAATGAAAATAAGGAGCACACTTTGATAAACTGGTGGTATGGTGATTTTTAGGGATGGGAATTTGAAAGCAAATGTATATTCAAATATTCGACCCCCCAAAAAACGGTTAACCGAAATGTACATATCCTATTAAAAAAAAAAATTGGGTAAAAAAAAAGAAGAAAAAAAAATGGATTTTTTGTTTTCCAATACTTTTTGGAAATAAATACATACATGTTCAAAGTGTAGAAACCAAGTCGAATTTCTCAAATGTATTGAACTGATGATCACAGTTTGACAGCTATAGGCCTACAGCTTTCATGTGCGGAGGCGATTCACAATCAGCCCAGCTGTAGTGAAGACCGTCATAGCTGGAACGGAGGTTGCGGGTATAGCAAGCATGTATATATAAGTTTAATTTGGCATAGTTTGACCTCTACACCGCACTCACTAACCTGGTCGAAATATTTCCACACATTACTCCTTTTTGACGCCATGTTTGTTGTGTAGGACTCTTCTTAAGAGTGTAAATAATTACCGGACTATGATTGGTAAAATATGTTGAATACCGGCAAAACTAAATCTCTCCTGTCAAAATGTCTATGTACTTTGCCGCCACACATGGTTGCCAAGCAGTGCTTATTGTTGTTTAGGCTGCCCGCTGTGAGGGACCGGTGAGCGGAGCAAAACACACCTTTAGACGTCAACTAACACATTTAGCTATGGCACTGTCGTATATATACATTGAATTATCCAATTTGATAATATGTAATCAACTTAGGCATCCCTCCCAAAAAAAAAAATTAATAAAAATATTCATAACTCATATTCGAATACATGAATAATTATTCGAAAACCTGAATAATTTCGAATATTAGAATATTCGATTAATCGTTCCCATCCCTAGTGATTTTAGGGTGACACAGATAAGATCACCAATAATATTAAATTGTTGTGGTTTTCAGTTCATTAAAGAAAGATTTAACGAGCAAATATGGATGACTTATTACTCTGTAGCTCTGACACAACCTAATCTTACTGATGTTTGTCAGTATTACTGGAAAAAAAGTATCCTATTATTGTATTAAACATAACATTCTTTAACATGGAAAACATTCTTTTATGGAAAACACCCACACAACTAATCAATTAGGGTGCCGAACTTCTTCTCTTGGTTTATTGGTGGACTGCAAACCAACTTAAAAAAGGTGCAAACTGACCCCTACTTCCATCGTAAATAATAAGATCAAGAGGACTGACAGTGTTACAGTTTGCGAACCCCAAAGTATTGAAAATAATCACCTCCTTCATCTCGCAGGCCTGCTGGGTACGTAAAGTCTGCAGCTCCTGGGTGGCTGACTGAAGATTTGCCTCCCTGGCGAGCAGCTGCTGCCACAGGTGTCGCTGCCGCTCCTCCACACCGGCCCCTGGAGGCAGGCCATCCTCCTGAAGACGCATGGAAATCTTGTCCAGCTCTGTCTGCACCTGAGAACCCAGAGGAGGAGATTCATGTTTTGTAAACCCAATATCATATTGATCACCTAAGTGTTCGACTGTTATGTAAAGCTTGTAAGATATTATAAAATCAAACCTCTCAGTTATGTAGTGAATCAAGACGCATCCACATAGTAAGCTTGTCTGTGAATGGGTAGCCTTGGGTTCACTGCTTTGCCTATTATAGCAAAACCTGTATTGTCATTAAACTAAAACCTGATACAATTCCAAGGATACTTTTGCTCAAATGCCTTTAACTTACTTCTAATTGTACTATGTGGTTATATGTGACATGCTACTACACCTGCAATACAAATAACTAAATTATCTATCATTCGTCCTTTAAATTACTTACTTTTACTAAATGATCAGGTAAACTATCCTGCAAACTAAAGTGTTAACAACAGTTTTCAACATCAAGGTTGTCAGTCTCACTGACAACGGATCTCTTTGTGGGACCCATAGGAGAGAGACACAACATTATAGTGTGATGCCAGCACTAAACACCTGTTGCTGAATTCAATACTGTACATTGTTGGGCTTGTAATCTGAGCAGCCCCCCTGTGCAGCATTTCAACTACTCCACTCACTGCTCCAACAACATGCAGCATATTGCTAGGTATCAGGTCTCATGTGCCTGTTGTACTTAAACACCACGCCAACTGGTCTATGAGCCTGCCTTTGTGGAACTATTTGCCAAAAGATTAGATGTAAAACAACGACCATTTGCATACTCATAAAGTACTTCTGGTGTTGAACACTGGGACAAAGCATCTTCACAGTGACTGTCACTATGTTATTTCTAAGTAAATGAACAGATGTGATTGATACCTCTTCATGATCCATGGCCATACATTAAGCAGGAGGGAGCTGCATCTGTTGATGATGGCCTTTTCCCTTAGTGTTAAAAGTATTGATCCAAAACAAAAGGCTAGCCTACATGGTATCCCATAGAAGCCAAGTCAGTTTGCACTGATGTGGTGAAGATCAGCATATCCTCAAACTTCCTCTCTTCCATTGTTGTTGCAATCCATTCATGACAACATGTCTTGTCCTCGAGTTCCCCTGCAAAAGATGAGAAACTTAATAACAATGCATTCAAGTCATGTTAGGACCTGCAGTTGCAAGCTTAGAGATCAGACTAGCTACCTTAGTTTGGATAGGCACACTCCAATTTAACAGCTGAGGAACACTGCATCACCTGAGGCTATGCAAAGCTTCAGGATGATTAGCTATGTTAGCTCTGCTGCTATGTTATCATGAGGATTTTTAGCACAGACAGCAATAACAGTAATAATGTTATCTCTATCATTGAAGTGGGCGCTTTTCTGTCCTGCATTTGGGAACATTGCACGTAAGCAACAATATGTATACACTACAAACAAATCCCTGCAGTTTGCACAGTGCAGTGATTATAACGTGGCGACCTTCCTCTCATGTGTGCCATTAAAAAATGTTTTTCAGCTAACTGTTCTTCCCAAAATGTCTGACGAGGAGCAAATGAGGGATTTTGTGGGACAACTTGCATTCCATTTGTCAACGCAAGCTCGCTGGTCAGAAACATGTCATTAAGTAAATATATTTGTGTGCTAAAGTAAATTACTAAATAACCCACACTGGCAACTGGGACGTCACGCTGCGCTAGCTAGTTAGCAAACTTCGCTCATAAATTACCGTAGTATACTTCACACACACACACAGCTAAAGCTAGCTCGCTAACGGTAGCAATAGCTTTCTCCGATGACCGCTTGGCAGCCACTTGTTAGCGCCGTAAGGGAATTGTTACGATAAACGAAGGCTACTGTTGAATAGCTACATTATTTGAAATGATTTAACAGGGTATGCAATGTGCCGTTAAAGTTTTACTCACCTTTCAAAGGGTAAAAGCAACAAGAAAGCTAAGTGCTGAGGACAGGCGTGGCGGAGCGGATTGGCTTCTACAAGCACCTAGGCAACGGACTGTACCACTGCAGGGAGAATCCATCAGCACAGTTGCAGCCATGAAACCGCACGAAACCAACTAGTTTACGCTGTTTGTTTCAGTTTAGAAAAAAAATATCCCAGGGAATATCATTTTAGTAAATGACAGCTTCGAGATGTGGTAAAAGTTGTACTTTTGACGAGTTTGACAAAATCTAGATAATTAAGTTGAATGCAATTAAACGGTCTTTTAATTGGTTTCGTCTTTTGTTACCAGGTAAACAAAAGTGATAGGAAGGTTTCTGTGTCTGTATGTAACGTGGTATAATCTGTATCAATATAGTATTTACTTCACTGTTATTGATAGTTAATGGACTTTTGATGATATCTCATAAATGTATGGATTTAAACACCAGGTGGCGACAAAGAAACATTAATATTTCCTGAGATGCGAAATATCAGAATCATTTGTATAATTGTAGCCTACCATTTATTTAGCTCAATCTAGCAATAGTAGGCTATGTATGTAATGTTTGATTCCTAAATTAATGAAGGGGTACAGGTATTCATAATCAATCATACAAAAACAAGTTAAATAATGTTTCTTATTGCCTATTCTATTGAACCCATATGTACATGTACGTGTACGATGGCTGTTTTGAAACCTTATAATTCAGGCCTGTCTTGTTTTGCTTTGACCTCCACTAAAATGACTGCATGATCAAAGATGAAGGCCTACACGGTGAGTCCCACCCTGATGTTTCCTGTGTGACCAGTGCACAATCATGATGCCTGGGTGTAGAAATGTGAGTTATTTTGCAGTTGTGTGTTTATTCTTCACATCTGCCCTATAACAAAACTGGGATCACGAATGCATAGTAGAATGGTCATTATGCCAAAAAAGCATCCAAAGTGTAGTGTTTACAGAGGAGTTATTTTCATGTGGTTTTATGTGCCTCAACTGCCCATGGGTGGATCCCATTTTAGATGGGCGGAACACTTATTTTGGATGGTGATGTTGTACTTAAAGAGAGCTCTGTTCGGCACAGAGGAAATGGGCGTGCTCCTTGGAAAGTTTGGATGGAGTTGCTGTAAAAATAAGGGGTGTGTGGTAAGTCTGAAAATAGAGGACCACCAGAAGGGACACAACTGTAGAGTGGTGAAGCTGCGTTTAAGCTGCTCCTAAGATCCGATTGAGAGGGACTGGCAATACTCAGTGTGAGTACATAATTCCTTGACATTTCATAATCTATATATTATTAGTTAAATCATGGTTCCAGTTGTTTAAAAAAAAATTGTCAAAGTAGTGATTCTTGAATCACATCCCCTAATGGACTCTTAGAGTGGTGCGTAGCAAAAGATTCATGCTTTTATTATAACAGATTTTGTTTGCCATACAATATAACGTTTTTTAACAAACCGTTACTCATCACATCTTTGTAACAGTACACAATGTTTTTTTTTTCATAACCATTACTAAATATTTAAACGTTTCGACTCTCATGTGATGGATGGAATCTAGTGTAATGAGATAATTTGACAGTAAGACTCCACCGCCCCACCCAAACAGACATAGAGATAAAGGTCTACACAGAGTCAATTCATGTCCGTGTGTTTATTTTTCTGTCTTTTTTCTTTTCCATTGCATGTCTCCTTAGTACGAAGTAAAATGTTGTTACTAAAGCTTTGGTAGCCAATTTAGCGTTTGCTCGTGTACTACCGTACACTAGATACAATAGAAAATAGCTTTCTTAAATCCCTGTTTATTCCTCAGACTTTAATTTCCTCTTAATTAACAAGTAGTGCCTCTTTATTAAATCCAAATCTAAGTCAATCACATACAGTTTACCCTATTCAAAATATATATATTTGGAAGGGTGAAGAGGTTTATTGGTTAAGTATTTTTGAAAAAGTTTAGCTTGCAACAGGCCTGCTAACCCCAGGTTCTCTGAGGTTAGCTGTATGATGGCAACACAGAGGCCAGTCAAAGTTACATTTTAGAAATAACTCATTGCCCCCTGTTTTGAAGCGTGGGCTTTACAAAACACAGTATACTCTGTTCAGCGACTGACATTTTCCATTTAACTCTAAGGGGCAAAACAGGAAAGTTCTCAATTACTGATTTTTATAGAGACCCAGTAAACAGGTTTAATTGGTCACAAACAAGCATTTCCACGCTTACTGTTGAATGCAGTCTTTCTGGAAGCCTGCATTTAAACAGTTGTGTTTATTTTTGGCAGGGAGTTGAAAATGGCGTACCTGCTTATGTTTGTGACCCTGCTGCATCTCATCACATTGGCAATGCAGTTCATTGCTACCATGGAGAAGGTAGTATTCATATCTGGGGCTTGATTGTTGACTTTTATTGTATTACCTCATAAATGCAACATATCCAGCTGACAGTATCATCTCTAATCTCTCGTTAAAGTCCTGGTGGGAGTGGGATGGCCTGGAGAACTCAGACCTGTGGTACAACTGTAGGTTTGACAACTTCACAGAATCTTGGTTGTGTACATCCTCCAAAGAAACTGGTAACAAACGATGTCATTTTGTTTACCTCCACACACGATCATTTTTCTTCCACATGTCAAATCTGAGAACTAACACTTTTGATGTGGTTTCCTTTCTCAGACTGGCTTCATGCAGTTCAGATCCTGATGGTTATCTCAGTGGTCTTCTCCTCTGTCTCCTTCTTGGTGTTCCTTGGTCAACTCTTCACCATGTCTAAGGGCGGGCTCTTCTACTTCACTGGGCTGTGTCAAGTCTTTGCAGGTAACACTGGAGTGAAACAATGTCCCTCTGACCGCTTTGTGCATCATGGGACAATTTTAAAGGATGACACTTTCTCTTACAAATGTACATTTCATGGTTGGGAAATAAGCTAAATATTATATATAACATGTGTAAGTTCATTTCAACAGTGTTATACTTGAGTATTGTGACTGTGCATAGCGTTTTTCTGATGGCTGCATTGGTTCAAGCTTTATTATGATAAAGTCCACAATTACTAGTTACTCCCAACTAGTTATGTAATTAAATAACAAAATACATTTAAATTTAATCAGAAAAAATATGTCATTGAGTATCAGTTATGCTGATGGTAGAATGTTGGTGATTACAATAGGGGTTTCATCCAAATGTATTCTTTTCGATAGTATAAAAAGCTCATATGAAGAATGTGAAATGTATTCTGTTGCCCGCTTCCAATTTAAATCAAGGTAAACTGAGAATAACATCATAAATGTTTGTCTAAATGTTTGACTGTAATAAGTGTTGAGTACTATTGGCCTTTTTAGCAAAAAAGCCCAGTTCAAAATATTTGATATCATTAAAATGTTATAAGTTAAATAAAATAACCTTAATGAATTAATTGAAAAATAATTAAATTACTACATTGATTACATTTGAACAAGGTTACTAGTAATGCGCAGCCTTATGGCTAACCTGGAATTAAATATAACTATTTGGTAAACAAACTTAATTATTATTTCAAACACTGCCACACATTTAGTCTCCTTTTGAAATATTACTGGTATTGTGACACAGTCTGAAGTAAAAGTTAATATATAGTGATGTATTCATTACTTTGCCACACTGTCCCCTGCCAACATTGCTGTCACTCTAATGCTTATGACATTGTTTACAAAAGGATGTTCCAAACCAACACACTATTTAAAACATCCCATTCATAAACTAAACTTATTACGGTCTTTTCTTAGGGTTGACTGCCTTTTCTGCAGCTCTCATCTACACATTAAACAACAGGGAAATCCTTCAGGACTCCAGAGAGCTGACATCAGGACACTTTGGCTACTGCTTCATCCTGGCCTGGGTGTGTGTCCCCTTGTTGCTGCTTAGTGGGGTCATATACGTCCACTTGCGTAAGAAAGAATGACCAGACAAATAAACACAATGTCTAACAGAACGTTTTTTTTTCTTTTGAAGTAACAAAACAATTGGTTTGACTTCTTGTTAATCAGAAATGTATTTTTTCAGGACTCACAAATGCATATGGTATGATCTTTGCTCAGGCTTCAACTAATGTGATGTTTTTTAATTATATAAATGACTAGGCCTACATGTATATTGTTTTTCCCTTGACGACATTTTGAATTAATTCATTTAACATTAAGTCAATATATAATGCCCATGACCAAGGAAGATAAATACCAAATCAGTTTAATGTATTTTTGTTAGTTTTAGGCTTTATACGGCATTTGAATTGCTTTTATATTTTTTCTAGACCAAACTGGAAATCTATTTTTGTACCTAAAGCTTATGTAGAATATATTTAGTAACATCTTTCAATAAATATCACTCTAAGAAACACTATGTGAGAAAGTCTACTGTTTTCATTAATGTGATAATACATTGCACACTTGAAACCAAATAAACAGGGTTTTTTTTACTTTGTATTAAAGGTGTTCATGTTTTTAAGGCTTTTGTAACATATTTACTAGCAGAGGGGAAACTAGGCCTACTGACGTCGTTGCCATAGCGACAGTAAACTTACAGTTTCTCAACAACTGCGTTAGCTTCATCAGCTAATCATATGTTGAAAACTAGCATAATACCGGTCGTGTATTGTGTGTGTATCCTTTTTATAGCCATTTCTCGCTATAATGGAAGTTAGTCCTCGTGTTTTGGGGAAAGCATCCAAGATCATTTCCCTTGCTTTACCCAAAGGAACGGAAAAATTGTGTGAACTTTGTCAAAAAACAGCGCACCTGCAATGCACCAAATGTCGGGTCACCTTTTACTGGTAAGTTTAAACTATCAAAAATAATATATTTTATAATTAAATGTCTAAGGCTATTCATGACTCTCTGGCCATATATTTCTAAGCGCTTCACATCATTTCCAAATGCCACAAAGCTTTAGTGTAAAGCAGGGGTGGGGAACCTCCGGCCCCCGGGCCGTATACGGCCCGCGAGACCATTTGGTATGGCCCTCGAGGTAATTTATAAACACACACAAAAAAAAAGATTAAAGAAATCTAGACCGCAAAATAATTAAACAAGCGAGTGCCTGTTTTTCAAGGTCAGGGTCCTTGAACACAACACGAGCCTAACGTGTCCTCACGTGGTATATGTCTCGTCTGACAGGGGTGCAGTTCTGACGGAGAGCACCAGAACGCAGCTCCGGCACTTCAGATAAGGAGCCGTACACATGCCGCCGTTTTTGCGTAGCTGTGTCTTTAGTTGAAAGCCCAGTGGCGACCTGTTCATGTCATACTGATCATACAGTCAATAACTTTGTTGTTATTGCCATCTGGTTAGCTAGCTATGCTAACGAATATAAGAAGCTTTTTCTACAACCAGTGAGGTAAAGGCACATCTTTATATGATCATTATAGTTATAAAAAAACAAGAGAATAAAGTAAACAGGTATAAAATACTATATGACAGTAAAAAAAAGTTGTTATTAATAAACAAGAATACAGTTTGAAAGGGGAGTGATTTGTAAAATATCCATAAAGAAAAAGAAAATCTGCTTCCAGTTCTGTTTGGGTGTTGAGAGGTGTATCCATAGATCTCCTAATGTTGGTCTCAAAGTGCACCAGATTGATGCTTTTAACTTCAACATTTAAAAAAAAATCTTCCCGGGGAAGCATGCCCCTGGACCCCACTAGAGGAGGTTTGGTCCCCCCCCCCCACTTAAATCATGTTCACATGGATAGGAAACTAAATACATTTGCACACATCTTGTGTCCATATCTTTCTGTTTTGGTGGTCATGCCACACCGTGCATGCATGAGTCCCCGGGAAGATTTTTTTTTAATTTTGAAGTTAAAAAGCATCAATCTGGTGCACTTTGAGAAGCAACATTAGGAATTCTATGGATACACCTCTCCAACACCCAAACAGAACTGGAAGCAGATTTTCTTTTTCTTTATGATATTTTACAAAGCACTCCCCTTTCAAACTGTATTCTTGTTTTATTAATTAAACAACTTTTTTTACTGTCATATAGTATTTATACCTGTTTACTTTATTCTCTTGTTTTTTTATAACTATAATGATCATATAAAGATGGTGCCTTTCCTACTGGTTGTAGAAAAAGCTTCTATATTCTGTTAGCATAGCTAGCAACCAGATGGTAAACAACAAAGTTATGACTGTATGACAGTATGACATGAACAGATAGCCACGGCTTCAACTAAAGACCACAGCTACGCACAAAAACGGCAGGCCATGTGTACGGCTCCTTATCTCACAGTGCCCGGAGCCGAGTCTCTGGTGCTCTCCGTCAGAACTGCACCCCTCCTCAGACGAGACAATATACCACGTGATTAGACACGTTAGCTCGATTGTTGGTGTTCAAAGGCCCTGACCACGTGGCCAGGAAAACCAGGCACTCGCTTGTTTAATTATTCATTTCGGTCTACAGATGCTCTTAATCTTTTTTTTTGTTGTGTCTATAACTTCCCTCGAGGGCGTACCAAATGGTCCCGCGGGCCGTATAAAACGGCCCGGGGGCCAGATTCCCCACCCCTGGATTAATGAGCAATGCGAATATGGGTAGTCTACATAGTATTCATACATGGAGATAAGCCCCTTAAACAACCATGAAATTAATAAAGCATTAATTTCCTGTGTTTACTGCTATGTTTACTGCTGTCATTCAAACCAAGGGGTGCGGGGCGGTATCTCCCTGTAAATCCTATCGGGATCGATTCCATCAGGCAAACATAACCTTGTAGCTGCTCCGTCCACACTCACAACAACGTCATACAGACATAAATAAAGCAGCGACGTATTCGCCATGACAGACAGTCTGGTTTGAATGTTTAACTTGTCCAGTTCTGGAACCAGGATATGAAGAGCTGTGAGCCCCGAGTGGCTAACAGCCTTAACAGCTGATTGTGTAGGCCCGGGCCAAGGTCATTCGACGGCAGCAAAAAACAACCAATCACACCAGTGCCCCCTGGCTGGCCTGGTTCCCAACACAAACAAGAAGTGTTCTCCCTAAAGGAATTACCTTCGCCAAATTGAAAAATGCGATGGTGTTAAAGCTGCGGCCAGTTTTTTCTGAAAGCTGGTGTTGTGAAAAGGCGTGCGTTTTGTGAATGCTGCGGCGTTTTTCCTGAAATCGCTGTTGCGTTTTGTGGGAAATGCTGCGCGTTTTGTGAATGCGGCGGGCGTTTATTATCATCAAGAAAATGCTAGTTGCCATTAAATTGGAGAAAGCTGATGGACGATTGAGTGAAAGGACAGGAGACAGAGGGACTATATAAATCGTGAAATGCTGCGGCGTTTTCTGAAATGCTGCGGTCTTTTGTGAAATGCTGTGGGCGTTTTTGTGAAAGGCTGTGGCGTTTTGACAAATGCTACAATAGCGACAATGCTTGAGTAGACAGATATATGTAGAAATGCATGTGGCGTTTTGTGAAAATAACGCGACTACTATCTGAAAGTGCTGGTTGTGTTTGTGAAATGCTGTGGTGCCTTGCACATCAGGCCACCGTAAGTTTTTGTAAAAAGTTGTAGTACGCCAACGGATTAAAACAACATTATTTTTGTTAAATAAAAACATGGTGATGTTTTTGTAAATGATTACATGTTCTTATTTTAGCACAGAATATGACCTATCGGTGGACATATGGATCATAAACAAATATCGCTATATTCAGATACCTCTACTGTAGATCTATCAGCTGTTTATTCACAATGAGTTCCAGCGTGGCAGCTTTTAATCATGGCTCCCCTGGTGGATCCATGATCCATTGCAGCCTGGTATCATNTGGTCCAGCTTCTTCTGGCATTCCTGTTATCACAAACACCAAACATTCTCCATCAGGAAAGACACAGGATATACCTACTTAACCTAGTGTTAAAGCTACAATAAGTTCATGTCAAAACACATCTGTCGCAAAATGGGAAGAGATTGAAATGCTAGAGTCAGGTTGAACAGTGTTATCCTGGTGTATGGAACAAATATTGCAGTCTGACATCCTAAGCAGGGGTGGGGAACCTCCGGCCCCCGGGCCGTATACGGCCCGCGAGACCATTTGGTACGGCCCTCGAGGTAATTTATAAACACACACAAAAAAAAGATTAAAGAAATCTAGACCGCAAAATAATTAAACAAGCGAGTGCCTGTTTTTCCTGGCCAAGGTCAGGGTCCTTGAACACAACACGAGCCTAACGTGTCATCACGTGGTATATGTCTCGTCTGACAGGGGTGCAGTTCTGACGGAGAGCACCAGAACGCAGCTCCGGCACTTCAGATAAGGAGCCGTACACATGCCGCCGTTTTTGCGTAGCTGTGTCTTTAGTTGAAAGCCCAGTGGCGATCTGTTCATGTCATACTGATCATACAGTCAATAACTTTGTTGTTATTACCATCTGGTTAGCTAGCTATGCTAACGAATATAAAAAGCTTTTTCTCCAACCAGTGAGGTAAAGGCACATCTTTATATGATCATTATAGTTATAAAAAAACAAGAGAATAAAGTAAACAGGTATAAAATACTATATGACAGTAAAAAAAAGTTGTTATTAATAAACAAGAATACAGTTTGAAAGGGGAGTGATTTGTAAAATATCCATAAAGAAAAAGAAAATCTGCTTCCCAGTTCTGTTTGGGTGGTTGAGAGGTGTATCCATAGATCTCCTAATGTTGCTCTCAAAGTGCACCAGATTGATGCTTTTAACTTCAACATTTAAAAAAAAATCTTCCCGGGGAAGCATGCCCCTGGACCCCCCTAGAGGAGGTTGGGGCCCCCCCCCCACTTAGATCATGTTCACACGGATAGGAAACTAAATACATTTGCACACATCTTGTGTCCATATCTTTCTGTTTTGGTGGTCATGCCACACCGTGCATGCATGAGTCATGGTCAAATATCTGGAATAAGAGGTTGCTTTTTCTTTGCACAGCATGAAAGAAAGGCCAAATGAATGGGCTGTGATTTTAGTATTTTTAAGCAGAGGTCAATAATTTGTACGGCCCTCGGAGGATGTTGAAAAAATTGAAATGGCCCTTGAGAGGAAAAAGGTTCCCCACCCCTGGTGTAAATTAACCAAGTATACTTTTACTCAAGTGGGCCTACTGTAGCCTACAAGTTAAGTAGCTTACACGTTTGAGGGATTTTTACCTTACTTGAGTATTTCAATTGTGTTGTTACTTTGTACTTCTAAAGCACTACTTAAATAAAAAAAATGTGTTTATAATAATAATAATAATAATAATAATAATACACTTTATTTTCATAGCACCTTTCAAAACATAGTTACGAAGTGCTTAAATACAAAATACCTTTAGTTACTTGTTTCAGATTTGGATTAATGATGTGAAATACAATCAAGACTAAAATAAGACTTTAGTTG